TATTTCGCATAAACCTCATCAAATTTAATTCTTTTGTTGTTCTATTATTCGATTATTCCACTGTTTGATACCAACCAAGCAAGTCATTATTTTGTTACGTTTACGGACTTGTCGTTCATAACTTGATATTCAAATTCCTATATGATTGTATATTGAAAGAGTCTCCGGCTACCTTCATAATTCGTCTTCTCTAGTTAAAGATTAACTAAAGTTATCATTAGCATATTATATTGGTACCATAATCTTCTAATAAACTGTTGACAGATGGAGGCTAAGGAAGAAAAATACAGCACCTAAGATCTCTCTGGCTTTGCTTTTCTCTTCTCTTTTGTTATTGTTGTCATTAAAAGAAAAAAGTTGGAAAATGAGGACGTTGCATTGACAAAGCAAATTGAATTTTGCTTAGCCATTAAGAAGCTTTTTACAACTTTAGTAAAAGAAGAGAGGATTATATAAAGAAGATGTCTATCACAACTTACTCTTCCCTCCTCTCTTTTCCCACCATTTTTCTTCTTTTTGTGTGTGTTCACATAGAGAGGAAAAAAAAATGGATGATCATAGAATTACTAAAGACATTGGTGTAAAGAGAAGTGCTTCTGAGTTGGCTTTACAAGAGCTTCTTAACAAGTTCTTGTCTTCCTCTGCTTTATCCAGACAAGACTCAGTTCTTACCACAAGCCCTCTAGACACTTCTTTTGATCTCATGAACAGGGTTAGTCTTTGGTTTCTTCCTTAAGTTGTTACTCTTGTTCAGATCCAGAGATTGTAGTAAGAAGCTTGGTTGGTTGCAGGATTATACTTGTGAGTTAAGAGACAGTCTTTTGTTGTCTGAGAGCTTGATTCCACATGGAGTTTTTCTCGATGCACAGTCCTCGATCTGCGGTATGTGCTGGTCTCTTTGAATTGATTCCATATGTTCTCTATAATGAGTTGATACTAATGTTCATTTGTGTTGCTCTAATCTGCAAAGAGAATCTGTCAGCTGATAGTCCAGTTTCAGCCAATAAACCTGAGGCAAGAGGAGAAGCTCAGAGAACTGTGAGTGGATCTTTTCATGATCACTCTGATGAAGAAGATGCAGAGACAGAAGCTGGGGGACAATCTGATATGACTAATGACCCTAATGATCTAAAACGTATTAGAAGGTACTCTCTCCGTTCCACAAAGATGAGTTTTT